GGCACTCCAACACCTGCCCAAGTAAACTTCGTGCTTCCAAATGCACTTTACGTGAGTCTTACCAATCCATAAGTGAGTTTGTCTGCATCACAGCAGAACATTCAACTCAACCTTCAAAGCACGTAAATAGATGAAACCATCCGGGAAACTTGAACTAACAGCCCAGGTTCACTCATGACAGATGGGAGCTGGAGGCAAGACAATCTCAGCAAGGGGTCATCAACCGTGCAATATGCTTCTGGATGTAATTTGTCAGAGCCTGAATCTCTTGACTTTCAGGTCACACTGCATGGGCCACTTGTTCTCCCTAACATTCCCTGGGAAACAGGAATAGAATTACTAATAGATTCCTCAGGGGAACACCTCAGTTTGGGAGGTATTTAAGGAGTCAGATTACAAAAGAGGCATATTTCTTTAAAAAATGAAATAATTTCAAAATTACCAGGGAAGTGGTTGAGTCATCATTCCTGCAGGTGTTAAAAAACGTGTAGATGTCGCACTTTGGGACATGGTTTAGTAGGCACTGTGGTGTTGGGGTGATGGCTGGACTTGATGATATTAAAGGTCTTTTCCAACCTATGATTCTATGATAATAAATGAAGATATGCTTCATTTAATTCAAATTGATCCAAAATTTCTCTGAAAAACTTGTGTGACCACATACTCCTTTTTCAAAAATTGTATTTAGCCTCTAAGCTGGAAAAATAGCTTACTGATGGTCACTGATATACCAGTCTTTAAATGAATTATCTTCTCTTTATAGGAATACATTTTTTGAAACCTGATGTGCTGTAACTTCTCCATTTAGACAGCCTTGCTATACAGTAGAATAAAGCCCAGTTAAAGTTCGGGGTAGAGAAGAATCCACATCTTTCTGTATGTAACCAACTATTCAGCTTTATATCAAGTTGATAAACTTGTAAGAATCTGAGAAGACTTTGTCAGAAAACTAAAAATATATTTTCCACTATTAAAAAAAAAAGTCTTTCATTCTATAATAATGCATGTGAAAAATTACAACAGAAAGTTCCGTTCTAACTGAAAGCACCTGTGTAACCCAAGCTTAACAGTTCAATTGAGTTATAGGACTTATCACAGAATCACAGAATCACAGAATAGTACGGGTTGGAAGGGACCTCTGTGGGTCATCTAGTCCAACCCCCCTGCCGAAGCAGGGTCACCTACAGCAGGCTGCACAGGACCTTGTCCAGGTGGGTCTTGAATATCTCCAGAGAAGGAGACTCCACAACCTCCCTGGGCAGCCTGTTCCAGTGCTCTGTCACCCTCAGAGGGAAGAAGTTCCTCCTCATGTTCAGACGGAACTTCCTGTGCCTCAGTTTGTGCCCATTGCCCCTTGTCCTGTCACTGGGCACCACTGAAAAGAGCTTGGCCCCATCCTCCTGACACCCACCCTTCAGATATTTGTAGGCATTTATAAGGTCCCCTCGCAGCCTTCTCTTCTTCAGGCTGAACAAGCCCAGTTCCCTCAACCTCTCCTCGTAGTGGAGATGCTCCAGTCCCCTCACCATCCTTGTAGCCCTCCGCTGGACTCTCTCCAGTAGCTCTTCATCCTTCTTGAACTGGGGAGCCCAGAACTGGACAGAGTACTCCAGATGAGGCCTCACCAGGGCAGTGTAGAGGGGAAGGAGAACCTCCCTTGGCCTGCTGGCCACACTCTTCTTGATGCACCCCAGGATCCCATTGGCTTTCTTGGCAGCCAGGGCACACTGCTGGCTCATGGTTAACCTGTCGTCCACCAGGACACCCAGGTCCCTCTCCACAGAGCTGCTCTCCAGCAGGTCCACCCCAAGCCTGTACTGGTGCATGAGGTTGTTCCTCCCCAGGTGCAGGACCCTGCACTTGCCCTTGTTGAACCTCATCAGGTTCCTCTCTGCCCAGCTTTCCAGCCTATCCAGGTCACGCTGAATGGCAGCACAGCCTTCTGGTGTATCTACCACACCTCCCAGTTTGGTGTCGTCAGCAAACTTGCTGAGGGTATATTCTAACTCTTCATCCAGGTCGTTGATGAAGACTTATAGCTGAGTGAATGCAGGCATATTAATCTATGATCCTTCAACTGGATTTGTACTGATGGGTCTCCTTGCTAGCTGTCTACTGGGTTTTGGGTTTCCTCCTGTGCAGCAATTTACTTCAGTTTAGTTAATGAATTTGCAAGTGTAGACATGATATGCATGTCATTATAAACTTGCACTTATAGAGAACTGCTATATTGGTATCTCAGGAAGATGCTACAGAGCTGCAATAACTATTCTTGAATGAATTGTTTAACTGGCAGTTGTGGCTAAGTAGATGGATGAGAACTTGAAATTCAGGGACAGAAGGGAAGCCAAGGCACTGCTGAAATAACAGCTGTTGTAGCTGTTGAGCACATACTGGGAGCGAGCTGAGGGCTCTGGGGCTGTCAGGACTCCAGCAGAGTAGGAGATACTCTGAGATTTTGCGGCTGGGTGCTACGTAAGAGTCACAGCTATTGAGACACAGCAGGGCGGAGGAACCCTTGAAGCATCTCCTTTGTGCTGTCCCTTACTACTGACACGGCACAGAGAGGCAGTGTGTGACTGCCTCTGCAGCGGGGAGGCCACAGCAGCCTCTAACAGTAAAAATACGACATTTCAGACACTATGTAGTGCTTCTTTGCAGCAGGGCTGGATTTGGGCGCTGGGAGATGAAAATGCATGAACAAGCTGCTCTGCTCCAGCCTCCATGCCAAGTCAAAGCAAATGAGACAAACTGCGGTTGAGTTGTGCCTCCCCACATTCAGCTGCTGGGCATAGTTCAGAGGCTGGCAAAGAACAGACTTTTGTATATTCCTGTAAAACATATTAATGCATCCCTAAGACTCACTGAAATTGGTAAGAACTGGATATGAAAGGCCTTAACAATGGAGCAAGGTCAGAATCCATCTTCTTTACAAAATCCACATTTGCATATTACTGATGTCAATGACAACTGCTTAATAAAAACAGTCCCCAGTATCCTAGGTTGTTCTGACAAACAGAACCTTCCTGCCCACCAATACGCCAGGATCATTCTGACACTGTGGTCTGGGTGCCACAACACATCCTGGTTTCCTAGGTTTTATTTCACAAATGTTGTTCCAGTTTCAATGCTGAAGTCAATCAGAGTTTTACAACCTCCCCATATATAACAGTAATAGAAAAAAAGAATAAACCAAACACAAAAACACCTTAGCAGCAATACACTGTGCTACAGCTGCAGCTGAATGCTTGAGCCCAGATGTTTTCGTTTTTGTAAGTAGTATAAATGTCAAGCGTAAACAGCTCTGGTTTGGCCCCACTCCTATGGGTTTGGAAAACAAACTGCTGCTGCCTGATTTCAAATGATCAGTTTTCTTACTATTACATGTACAAGTCTTTTCCTTTCAATGCATCTATTACCAAATGCTGCACTGGGCTAATTACCTTCAGAATACAAAAAGTCTCTCAGTGCTGCTGCTGAAAACATGAAAAAGATGAAAGTAAACCATGGTAGAAGCTTTATAAAACACTATGAGCAATTTGACATAATCCTACAGCTCAAGTATCATGCGCGAGAATAGACATTAGTCCAGAAAAGAGGCAGAATTTGCCATATTATTTGTTAAACTATGGCAATGGGATGAGTGAAAGCACCCACAGATGCTCAGCTGTTAGGCATTACTGTAGATTTCACATCAATGTATTTCACCTTTCAGGAGAGCATCTCAGATACGTTTGTCTTTCTCTCACACGCAGGTAGCCTCTCATTTTGAAATCTGATTCTAATCCCCCTCCACAATCTGAAAAGCTACTCTGGACAACAAAAGAAAACTCCTCTTTTTCCCCACACTTTGTTTAACCTTCAGATAAAAATGCAAGCGCTGAAAAGATAAAGTAATAAATCCATCACAACTAAAAGAAACCGTATGTAGGTTAGTCTAACCTTAAGCCCCACCCTTTTGACCCTGAAAATCGGAATGTGTGCCTAAGTATTATGTGAGATGTGGCTGGGCTGTAAAATGTTCTTAAAGAGAAACAACAACAAGAAAACTTCAAGTATTGCAAGTATTCTTCTTCAAGTATTATTTCAAACTTGCTAGTGCCATCCACACTCTGGGCCAGTAGACCTTCGCACAAGAGTGCAGCTCTGTCCCTTTCTTCTCCTGCTGTGGGAGGAAAAACAACACCTAAAGTTTCCCCAAACTGTGAAAAGCATTAAAAAAAAAAAAAAAAAAAAAAAGACTGCTGAGTGTCTCACTGGAACAAGATAAAAATAAAGCAAAGGATGTAATGAAAGGCAATACAGTGTGAGAGAAAAGATGAGAAAACCACAAAGAAGTTCATCTGAGGCTAAGACTGATAGGCAGGGCTCACGATTGCTTTCTCATGCTCTTCTCCCTGTTGATATCTGGTAGGCACCTTCCCCCTTCCAGTACTATGTGGCCATCAGTCCCACATGCCCACAGTCCAGGCTTGTCCATCTTCTCCCATGAAGGTATCCAGCACCCAGCTTTGCTGGAGCACTACAGGAGGTTTATAGAGTGTTCCTCCTCTTGCTCCGGGAACTGATCTCCTCAGTGTACCATACAGTACTGCTTTGTTTCCAGACATAACAACTGAAGCTGTTTTCACCTTTTCAAGACTACTGATTTTGTTAAGACATGTATGCCTACTAAAATGCAGACAGGACAGTGCCCACCGTTAGGTCTGACTGGCCCAGAGCAAGGTGCTCTCAGGCACAAGTCAGACTGAGCTGACCTGCAGTTTTGTACACAAGAAGAGGAAAAGGTAAAGACACAGAATGAACTGTCCAGGTAACTGCTAGGCAGGGGGAATGTGATTTAACTAAGCTGCATCTTAAGTAAGCAACATGTCCAAGGCCATCATCCCTTTTATGAAGAACTTCCTCGCTTCAGCAAGTGAACAGAAAGACCACAGGAACTACACAGATTTATGCTTTACTCCTCTAATCCGACTGACAAATGAGAAAGCTTTGGCCTTCCCACCCATCCAAACAAGAAAGTCTTTGGTAGGGGAGGCTGTTCTTTAAATTAACCAAGGTTCTCTTACTCCCTGTAGAAAAATTGGCTCCCTGACTTCCAAAACTGAGATATGAAAGGTCATTTTCAGTCTTGTCTTCAGAACTAATGAGCAATGCTGGTGTGTTGTTTAGCATACAACTGAACAGCCAACTCCATCATTTCCACAGACAGCAATCTTGTAAGGAAGATACTCTTTATCTACAGAGAAACCATTCCAGGGAAGATATACACATTTTTTAACACTATTGCTTACTGCAAATCATTCTCCTTGACAGAAGAATACTTCTACCAATAATACCTGGTCCTAATTCAATGCAGTTTCCACAGTTTATTTCATCCTAGTGTAACACCAACCAGGTATTTCCTTATTTAACTTCAAAATGCATAGAAGTAACGTGAAGAAACATCCACCCACCATGAAAAGGGCTTCATAGTTTTCAATCATCTTTTGTACAACAGCTATGATAGCAGTACTCTCTTCAGCTCGAGCTGAGCTCTGAACCGAGAATTCTTTGTCTGTAGATTTCTGCTTGTGCAACAGGTTAGGGCCAAAGATGGTAGCCAGGTTAAGTGATGTCATCTTGTTCCCAGTAATCTAGAAAACAAAATATAAATGAGGTGGGGTCTCCCAGGGTCTAATGGATACACATATGTATATACACACATATACACACAAACATACGTCTACACCCCCACCCCCCTCCCCAAACACACTCTCTCTCTCTCTCTCTCTTCCCCCCCTCTGATTTGGCAGATGCTTCATTCATCAAAACCAAAACCGAGTGCCAGTCAAATAAAAAAAGGAAAATTTTTAGAAATGTTGAAATACTTTGTTTTGACATCTCTGCAACAAGCACTGTGGGTTTTCTGGATAGGTTTTCAAATGGACTGGAGGAGTAGAAAGTGGAAGTGTTGCCTGCCCTTAACTCCCTGGACGCTTGGCAGTGGCATACTTCTTCTGAACCCAGGGAAACCGCCCTCGTACTTCACCACCTCAGCACATTACCGTCTCTTAGGACCAAATACTGAAAACTGTCAGTTTTCTCAAGTAGCACTCCTGATTTGAAACAGATACAGTGAAAAAACCACTTTTCCATGTTTAAACAGTGTAGCTAATTAAGGAGTCTGGTCATCATTTTGATCAATATTTTCCTTTTTGCTTGTTTCCTAGAACACGCCAAATGTTTACTTGCTGGGTGGATTCTTTTGTTGTTTTGTTGTGGGTTTTTTTAATTTTTTTCCTACTTTTATAACTCTGTGCTCAAAGAAGCAATAGTAACCTGACTTTTGAGAAAGTAGAAGGCTAGGAATACATACTAGACTAGACAGAAATGATCTGAAAAATATGTCCTATAGGTTATTAAATAAAAATTTTCACTGTCATACTGTGAGTAGACTACTTTTTTCCCCTTCTGTTCTTTTAACAGAGCAAAAAGTAGGGATCATGTGCTTCCTCTCTGTGTCTCCACTTGGTTGCTATTCTGGGAATGCAGAAGAAGATGCCAGCAGTTTGACTATATAAGACTGTAAGAGAATTTCAGCTGTTGACCCAGTATTCCTTGCAGGCCTTTTTTAAAGAACAAAAAAATATCATGAAAGGCATTTTTCACCTGTTTCAGCTACATTTGAACTAATTAATTTTAACAAGGGACACGAAAAGGCACCAAAAAGAGACTGTAAAAAGAGCATTTCAAGAAATGGTACAAAAATGAATCTTTTCAAAGTAGCAATTCAATTTTTTTTTTGTAGCTGGTCATTTACTGAATACTCTAGTCAAACTTGCAACTGGGCACTGACTGCACCTGGTTTATTTTTTACAGAGCTCAACCAGACAGCATAGAGATGAGAGTAAAAAGAGCTTTTACTTTTATTGGTGGGGCCACTGCGTAATCTTGGAAAGACATCTGCACTAAGTAGGTGCATGGGCAGTCACAACAAGCACTTTGGCTCTTTGTTTAGAGACTCATCCCCACATGACTGTGAGCACAGCACACTCCCTTATTTGCGCACCACCACGCACCCGGCTGTTTTTCGGGTGACCTGCTTTTTAAACACTGTCAGAGTACTCAGCCACCAGGGATGCACAGGCATGTGGTGCCTCGAGTGTGCCAGGGGCAGCCTCTGCGTCTGCCTGCATCTGCATGTGCAGGCTGTTTGTACAAACAGCGATGTTTTTCTTTAGGGCAGCCTCGGGGCATCCCTTAAAAAATGCTGTAAACATATCCACTGAAATTAACGGAATGAGTAATTTTAACAAACTTAGTCATCCATCTTTATCTTCCTGAGAGAAGGCTTTTGAAAGAAATCTTGAAGAGGGCCTGTGTGCCAAAGCTTGGCTGTTTCTCTTCCAGTGATAGCAAACAGTCTGATAACATACTTTCTCTTACCCTGTATGCCTTTATTCACTTAATTATTCATGAATAGTTTAAATAACTGTGATCAGTATGCTATATTATCTATAAAAGGCATCCAATTGCACATCATATTTCTGATTCTTACAATACTGCCAAGACAGCTTATATAAATTTGCCTTGCCAAAATACCTGTAGCAGAGCTGATGTACTGTTAAGGGGAATGAAAATGCCTTTAAACAACTGTTGGGCCAAACCGACTCTCTTAAGCAGCATCCTCTAGCCCTGCAGTAAGGTCCTCTTCGGTACATTCCTGAATCAAGAGAGAACTCTTTGCAGGACCAGGGGGACCACGACCTTAGCTGGCTCATACATGTTTTTAAGCACAGTAAAATTGTTATAGGTTGCTCTTTTTAAACGCTTGCCATCATATTGGTGTAGTTTTTTATCAACTCCTTGCTGAGGACAAAATAATAGCATTTAAAGTGGATTTAGAAGTTAAATAGGCCGTGAAGTCACATACAGCACACTGGAAGTTAGGACTTGAGGCAGAAATTCAGCAAAACTCAGTCTCAAAGCATCAACTGTTAAAACCAGCCAACTGCAAAAGGTGTCCAAATTTGAGAACAGTCAGCAGGGTTTTCCATCTGGGAGACAAAATTCTCTAGGAGTTTCAGAGGAGTCTCAGAAGTAGTCTCTGCTGCAGTTCAGAGGACAGAGAAGTCCTTCCCACAGATAAACTGGTACAATTTTGTCAACCAGTGACAGACTGTCTCCACCTCATTCAAAGTTAACAGAGTTGATACTTCTTGCAGAGCAGCCCACGAGATCAAGCATTTTCCTGGTAGAAAATGGGAAGCTTGGATTTTCAGATCTTCTCTAGTGTGAACAGCGCAGATGCACATGTGTGAATGCTCAGCAGTACAGCTCAGCCACATGGCTATGGGTGTTCTTGTCTCTGTGGGGCGGGTGAACTCCAACCTCTCCACTGCATTTGCTCCAGAATGCAACAGTAAGGAGGCCAGAAGGAAAAAGGGCAAAGATGGACCCTGGCTCCAACTACTGATTACATCTGCCAGTTGCAGGGACACAGCTGGAGCTCCTGTCCTTTATTTTTTATTCTTCACTACCCAGCGCACACAAGGAAGCTAAGGGAACCAAGAAGTGCACTGCTATGTCCAAAGGTCATGTAAGAAAGCAACAACAGAGAATGAAAAGTGAACGAAAAAGCATACTCTTGAAGCCTGACACTTTTCTGTGCAAGTATTTTTTCCATAGAATAAAACAGGATAAAGCAAGGTGGGGAAAAAGGATGGATAACATTAGACATTCTTAACAACAAGGTTGGTTACGCTGTGAATCTCCCAAAGGAAGTGGTAGATGCTTTACTGATTAAGTCATACAAAAATTAAAATTCTACAGCCCTAAGAACACAGTAAACAACTAAATGGCAAATGTGCAGGCAAGAATATGAGATCTCTCCCATCGCTCAGGGGTATGCCACCATCATGTTTGTTTCACAGCTTTACAGATCTCTTTTCAGATCATGAATTAAGCAAAGTCAAAGGACACAAGCGACCAGGACTTGCCTCTTGGCCATCTTTGTCTGTGGTGTCTTCCGCGTGGCCAGCCACTGTGGAGAGGAACTGCAGCAGCCGGTGCAGGGTATCGCAGTTACAGGGAGGTAGAAGATAAATGAGAAGCTGTAAGGTGCTTAGCTGTTCATCTGGCTCTAATACTAAGAGGGGAAAAAATACATTCTAAGAAAATCACTCCAACTAACCTAAAAGCAGAACAAATATACTGTTCCCAGCCCAAAGGAAGGCGGAAGAATAGCACTGTTTAAGGATCATTTTCCTTATGATGTCAGAAGAGAAAACTCTAAGAAATATCAAAAGTATAACAACTACTGCTATGGGATTTTTGCCTCGCTTGGTCAACTTTTTGCTCACAGGTTCACAGGATCTTTTCTCAGCCTATAAGAGAGCAAAATTCATGTTGCACACTCCATCACTGTCACTGGACACAAGAATTCTGTCTAATTTTCTACTTACTCCATTCGTTTAGGTATAGCTACCAGTATATACAGGGCACCGCTAGGAAACATTCCAGTTAAGTTTATGCTTTAGCCATTTTAAATGAGTGTTCTTAAAATTTCACATCTTGCACAGGTAGTAGGAGACTGGAAAAGCAATCAGAGATACAGAGGACTTTCGGCTATCACCATCCTTTAACCATCTAAAATGCAATGGTAGCCAGCGACAAAGGTAGGACAGAGGCAGGATCGCAGACTTGAGGGCTAGAAAGAATCTGAAGAACATACACCAGGCAGCAGCTTAAGCTCAAAAGGTCCAACGTTACTTTTTCCAAAATCTGTGAGAATCTGCTCTCAGGTCTTAGGCAAAACATTTGGGAGATCTTAATACGATGGCTTTGAGGATCATTGACTATATGAAACTTGAACTTCTGAAGGTAGGTTTTTGAAGCCAGACTGGAAATTTGGTCAGTGAATAGCTTGAAAAATTAGAAGCATTAGTGGTGCGAAGATACCAGGATTCCAATGGGAGTCTGTCATCTAATGACAGGGTCAGGATTTAACAGATAACATGAATCACATCCTATATACAAACGCGAAAATAGGTATAGAAAGTAAAATCTTTGTTGGTCTAGTTTTCTGGGCTATACTTACACAGTATGAAAACCAAGGAAAGATCTCAGCAAATCTATACTATACAAATATTTGGAGCAAATCAAGGCTACAGTACTAACTGCACAGAGAAAAGAATACAATCAGTAGAGATTAAAGAGTTCAAACAGGTAAGCTTTTCAAAATCGGTAAATCAAAATGCTGCAGAGCTCACAGAGAGTGTTGATGAAAGGTGTATAAAGTTCTCTGGTGAGAAGTGGGTCAGGCATGTCACGTAGAAACTCCTTTAATAAAGCAGCAACATCATGAATACTGTGTTCTTCGTCTAATACAACATCTATGCCCCGGTCAAACTCTTCACGTAACTGGAAAAGATCATGACACAAAACCACAGTTACTTATTGTCCCTATTAGTGCATCTCAACACAGAAAATCTTTTAAGACATAGATTTACTCATTTTCACTTTCTAGATTGGACATGACTAGTATTTGGTAAGGTCAAAGACAAAATTATTATCTAATTGCTGCTTATTCCATGATACATAACTTAAGGGTTGTACCGAACTGTAATAAAATAGAATTCTTGCTTTCCAGCTAATACACGGCACTCTTTTATGAAAAAACGTGCCCAAGTAAATATAAGCTATTCAGAAATGTAAGATTAACATCAACGGCAGAAACCAGGGAGAATAAGGAAAATTGCAAGAAAGGCTTTCTTACACCTCCTTACTGCACTATCCCTAAATTTTAGGATCAGAAAGACGAAAATTGCATTTTACAACGTTTATGGTTTTGTACAAAAACATTAATAATAAGACAATGTTAAAATCCACCAAACTCTCATTTCTCTTATGATTTAAGATCGTATTTAAGCATAAGCAGTAAGCAGCCAGGTGCAGTACGCAGCCAGCTTCACTAAGACTTCATGGCATTCGTCCACACACATCTTATCCTGCCTTCCTAATTTAGTTACATTTACTAAGTGATCACCATTAGCGAGTTAACAAACAGCAAGCTAATACCATTATGAGGCTTCGCTATTTTTTTCCACTTACAGTCCTTCAGACAAATTCTGTGTAATTCAAAGGCATCACACTTCCAAAGGCAGAAGAAATTCTTCTCCCATATTCAAAAAGCCTGACAAAAGATTAAAGCCTGCCTTTCTGGAGAGATTTTCCAGCACCGAGAGCAGAATGTTTTCTGCAGGCTGAGAGTTACACCTTTTACTCTCTTTTCATATTGAAAATGGTCAAGATGTTTTAAAACTGTTTCTTAGGAAAATTTCGTATGCTAATATTATGAGGTATCATGATCTTACATATATTTTCTCAGAGAGTAATTATATTTAAATCTTACTATACAAGAGGAAATTGAGGTTGTCTTTACCAGGATTACTATAGACATATCAAAAAGAAGAAAGAAGGTAAATCACAAGCAAACTATGTGTCTGTGATAATCTGTGGCAAATCGTGATCACAGGCAAATTCATCTTCAGTACATAGAGCATGGAGGAATGCAGAAAATCCCGTATTTACAGCTGAAATTGTGCTTTCATAATGAACGTGAAAGGTATTCTATAAAAACTACAGCCTCCTTTGTAATTTACTGACTACTTTTAACATTATTAATAATCAATATATGCTATGAAGACCAGAATTTGTTGTTCATCCAGTATTATGCTACCCCCTGTTGATATGTGGTCAAACATTTTGCAGTGCCAACTTGGGCATTTCATTTCCAGCTCAATTCTGTTCTTCAGACTGGTGGCAAATGGGGAACATCCCTGTGGAGCACCATAAATTACCTCTATCCAGAAGGTTGCTTCTGCACTTACTGCTCAAAAGAAACTAAGGAAACAGATTAGCACTGCATCAGGAATTTGGACTTCCCAAATAGCTGTCTAAATCATAAACTGCTACTACAGTCTTGAATATGGCACTTCTGATCTGATATCCTATGAGGCCTACAGAGATGTCCTAACTAGCACAGTATCAGGCAATCATTGGTGAAACATGGCCACATTTCAGGTCCAGGTTATCACAGCTGTTAAAAACTGTCTACTTTCAAGTTTAAACTTGAGGTCTCTCACACTTCATTCACAAGGGAATACTTTCAGACTTTTGGAAAGCCCACCCACTGAACTGCAGCATCCACCGGAGCATAAGACATGAGGGCTGAGGACATCCCTGCTGGAAGAGGGGATGGGAGCACAGAGTTCCAGCCCATGTCTCTCTTCAGCCTCAGGGTCTGGTGGTCACATCACCCGCAGAGCTGCCGCCAAGTCACCAGGCCTCTCATAGAGGGCTGCCCGCCCCAAGCTCAGCAACAATGTTCAAGCATCTGTACAGTTTCTGGGCGCAAGCTGGTGCCTGGCATCCTTATGTACCAGATCCAGTACCTTGAGCCAACACTAGCTCAGGAATCTTTGTCCCACAGCCCACTGAATGTGAAGGAGGCAGACTGGATCAGACGCACTCATTCTAGATTTTCTCTTCCTGCTCACCAACCAAAAACCCCACTGGCACATGCATTTACTTACTTCTGTATTTACTACAACAAACCACAGCTTAAATAGAATATTTTCTAACTGGGGGAGGAAGGGCAACAAAACTATGCCTACTTTCCACACAAGAAAAACTAATGAACAGCTGTGAAAGCACACCAAAATCTGAGGACTGGGTTTGGCTTTCCATGGTTCAGAAAATGAGCGGAATTTTAATTGAATCCAGACTTTCCCCTGTGTTCATGTTGACAGCATTTATTATTGTAACTGCAAGGTCCATGCTGATGCTTCCATGTTGTTTAATGAAATATATTAGTTCACCTAATTCAATAAATTAGACCATGTAATAGAATACATAAATACCCAAATCTCTTGATCTCCTCAGCTTTTGAAAGCATAGTAAAAATCGTGGAAGTCATTGATGTTCAAAGTAAGGCTTAGTTTACAAGTAAATGATACAAACCCTCTGTTTTTCCTCAAAGGTATGATGCAATTTTACTCATCCCTGAACGTTCATATATGTTCTGACACTGAAGCTTGTAATGCAAATGACAGGCAACTTACTTTTCAATACTTTATCTAGTTCAGTGTTGATCTAACCACTGCCTCTGCAGACCATGAATGTTTTCAGCTTTGCGTTACAATAACCACTCAGCAATAGAAACTGCTAGAGAGTAAGCTACAAATGAGTAGGCTATACTGTCCTACCAGCCAGAATCAAGTCATCTTAGCTATTCAAGGGAACTTTCCAGAGCAACAAACACTATACTATGTAGTTCTTGCAACAAAGAACTATTATTGCTGGGATCAGATCCAGTCAAGCTTTATTTTGCTTTTTTCTATTTGATCTTTTCACTCTTGTAGTTCCGGATAGGTCTATTTTCCTGTAACTTTTTATCCCCTTCCTAAGCATCATGCAACCATTAAGGACTATTCTCTGCTGCTCTAATTCAACAGGTATTCCCAACTTCTGGGAGTAATAATGCAATACCTAGGTCTCAGGAAACACCCACTTCTGACTTTATCTCTGGAACCTAACTGTACATTGTCTCTGCTTTTTCAACATTTGGCTGAGAGTAGGACTTGGATGGGTCTGCTCTAACCTTCGAGTTTAATAGGGGTAAAAGAAAGGTGATATTTGGGAGCAGCGATCTGAGGGTCAAAGAGATTGTTCTGTACTTGCATATTTTCTCATACTGTAAGTTTTCCAAAAAAGATTTACAGTTTGGGTTTGCTTTGGGAGCTTCAGCAGTTTCTGTGTTGAACCCAGCAGCCAAGATTTTTTTTTCCCTACAGTGTAACCTTTGGAAAATTTCATCACTGTAGTCTATTTGGATCTCCAACCCTGTGCTACTTCTGCAGAGCAAAACATACAGAGACTGTTAACCTGCTGAGAACCTGACAAGGATTTCAGCAAATGTAAAAGATGACTGGAAATGGCCCGTTATGAGCCACCAAAAAAACAATAAAGTCAGTGACCCAGAAAGCCTGAATTTCAGCAGGTGATGGATGGGGAGGAAATCACTTAACAGAAAGGAATCAGGCTTGTTTGTATCACAGTTGATGAGGGAAAAGCATATGCACAGCCACTCACCTGTCTTACTCTCTTTTTTGAGCTTCCAACTCTGAATATTCCTACTGTCTGGAGACCTGCAAGTGCAGCACATCAGACAAGTGTTTTATTGTTTAATTTTCTGCTGAAAATTGCATTGACCCAAAGCAATCATGGCTATATGTGTACTTTAACAAATGAAAAAAAAACCCGCAATGTATTTCTCTATAAACTTGTACTTACCATGCTGAGGCAAAACTCAGTTGTCTTGGAATAAGAAGCCATCCACTGCAGTTTTTAAGGACCTCACCATCACCTAACCTGCAAAACGGCATCGCCATGACATTTCTTGTGATGCCATTTTGGTAGTGCCACTGCTCCTCCGTGAGGGACAGAGGCATGCAGAGAGCGAGGCACTGCTCAGTGTTTGGAGGTGGCACGTCCAGGACTGATACTAAAGGAAGCAAGTAATAAAATAACTGAATACTTGGGCACTGAGCTGTGTCTGGGGTTACCTGCTGGCTCTACAGTGCCTGTCAAGACAAAGCTGAGAGTTTCCTTCAAAGGGTCGTTAGCAGGGCACTCAGGCAGATTACGAGAGGGAAGAACGCTACCCAGGAGTTGTGTGCAGTTTACAGGGTAGGAACAGCTATTACACAGAGGGAAAGCTATAAAGAAGTACTGTTGTACTTCAGGCGAAATGCAGAAGGTGTGCCTCTTGTGTCACTTAGGTTTAAAGTGATTTGGGAATGGGGGTGTTGCCTGCTATTCTGTAAGAAATCAGTTCAAACCTTCTTCTAGCCTTGTAGATACTACCAGAATATCAAACAAATGATAACGTGGTTGTTGAATGGACATGCTCTGCTGAGTAACAGAAACTGAAAAATTTGGGAGTAAATATCACCTTCGAGGTCTTTAGCAGTAAGAATGTGAGTGGAAATCTTAGAGGCTTAAGCAGCTGTGTACATAATATCATTTTACACAGTTAGACATTTTTTGCAAAAAGGATTAAATTACCTAAGCTTTGAAAAGTTTGTGGTCTAACAAAGGCTTCTCTGCAACACTAATTTTCTCTACTGACATACAGGAGAAACAAATGCATTCTGACAGCCATGAGGCTACACTTGCTTGCTAGAGATGTGTAGCTTTGCAGTGGTGTTTGGAGTTGCAGATACTCATCAGAGAAATTCAGATAGGACTCTGCATTTTAGTTTCTAGTCTCAACACGACACCTCTCTTCAAATACTCTTTATCTGTCATTAACAGAAAATTACATTGATACAATAACATTTAGCAAACCCAGGAACATTGGCAGAGAATCATCTGAGATGGAGATACTCATATTAGGCAATAACTGGAAGCCAGTTATCAGTTCCTGCAAAAACACACAGTATTTGTTTTACACTGCAGGTCTGCAGGAAGTCAAGACTTTACAACTCTGGAACATTATCCCAGGGAAAACAGGGAAGGTGAACAAAGCCAGGGGCTTTCATGGCTAAAAACTTTATCATTTTTTCTTATATAATGTTCAAAATTGTCATTTAAAGTATTCGTGAGAAACCCCTACCTAGGTGATTTGCTGCCAAAAAATTGGCCTACAGGACTTACGCATACAGGCAAGTATTTTCAGAATCAGAAAGCTGGTCCACCATATAGCTTGGAACGATGTTGCTATGGGATTGTCACTTGAACAGAAAGTCCTCTACTATCCCTCAAGCCAATGAGCACACAGCAGTGTCCACCTTCTGCAATCTTTAAATTTCTCAGTCAACCAATCCTGATGACTGCTTTGTGGGTGGTGGATTAAACTGAAAACTGAAGAACAGCAACATTCACCCCAAATTATCTCAGGTTATTGTGTTGTGGGGTATTACGGTGCAGTCTTAGAAAATGCACAAAAAAACATTAACTTTTCTTTAAAAGTAAACTTCAATGTAAAGCAAATATTTTAGTAAAGAATGTTGTATAGAAAGGAATCTTTGTTACGACAGTGGGTTAAGTGGATTAAATAATTTATCACAGATGTTCAAGTGACATAAAATCACAGTATCCAAAGGATACTCAGCGGACCCTATTTTTGGCTGACCCAGACACTTTCATGTTCTCCAAACTCAGCTGCCCTTGCTTAAAGGGACGGAAAGTCATTCATCTCAAACTTAATCATTCCCACACTTATTTATCAGCCATGGCATCTAATCTCTGTAAAAAGCGAGATTACTCTCATTCACAGTTTTCATTTATATATTTGTAAGCAATATGGTTTTCAATTACATATTGTAAAAGCTTAGCATTATTGCTTAAATTGCAGTCCCTCGCCTGCAAAAGCCTTTCATTCAGTCAGTAAATGATTTCTTTCTGGTCAAATTAGGCACCAAATGCATCATTTGGAGTTGCAGTAACCATTACTTAATGGTTTGTTTACTGTTTGGCCTTGTGATAACTCCATCTTGCTGTGGTCAAGTTATTTCAATTCTCATTAAAGAACTTTACAAGACTAAGACACATTGGGACAGATGTTGAACAGATACCTTGATTAACTATTGTTCCTGCATTACACAAAGCTGGTGCGAGGTTTGTGTCTGGATGATCATGAAGACATGAGAAGAATACCAGCAGGAGTTTCTAATCGCCTTTGGAGAGAGCAGGCCTGAGCCTGAGGCTGGTCAGGAGGACTCAAGCCAGGGACAAACTGAGTAGGCAGCCTGCAAGCCTTGCAGTGAACATGAAAAAGCTTCTTGGAGCTTAACATAATTTAGCATGGGATTTTTTTCCTTCTCTGAGCCTCTACTGTCAAATCCTGTTTCTAGTTCAGTCTTGCACTATACAATAAACAGCTAATTTAGCCCTTACACCTTAAGATCCACTGGTTGCAAAGAATGACTCCAGGCTGACTGGCACATTTCAGATTTTCATTCTCAAGGTATGGGTGAACCTGCTGGGTGTGAAGAGTCTTTCCTGCAGAGCTGAGCACTCCAGTACAAGATAAACGACCTCCAAGAAATGTCTCTTCCCTTGGCTGTACGGATCAGTTTGCAAGCTTGTAGCATGGATCCTTAGTTTGTGAAGATATCATCTTAGTAATTATTTCTGAGACAGTATCTTTAGCAAGAGCCAAAACAGGAGGGAAAGTGCCTGACTTTCAAAGGCGTCCTTGCAACTGGAAGTACATGCTTGCTTCTCAAAATACGCGTTTATTTATATTATAGTAAAAATACATCGGCCACTCCTGGGAAAATGAAATATTCTTACCGTGCTTTTCCAAGTGCTGGCAGCAACTATCTACAAGCCGGGGAACCTGCCTGTAAATAGGGTTCAGGCTTAGTTTCTTATCTCTTGCCTTTTCTTTCTTGCTCTGGGCTTCTGCTGGCAAAGAGAGCTGGAGAGCCTCTAACAGCCGTGACTGATTGTCATCAAGATCTGTAATAGAGTCCACAGACATCGCGCCCTGTAAAATACAGATGCGTGAACAATCAGTACGGCAGGAGAAATCTAAACACTACAAGACCTCATCTAACAAAGACATTTGGCTACCTGCATTTTAAACTAACTACTACAAAAATACAATTTGCCACAGGTTTTGTAAATTAATGAAGTTATAATAACACTGTAATGGATAGGAAAAATCACAATGGTACCACTGCTATTATTACCATACTACAGTGAATAAAAATTAGATATTGAAAAAAATAAATGCTTTCCACTCACTTGGCACACCCTTTTATTGCTTTAAGCCTGCACATATTGCAGGACAAGGATGAATCATGGTCTGAGCAGTACACTATTTATGTGCATGGAGCTACATACACATTTTTAAACCTGATTCCCTACTACTTCTGCAGTTTGGGCCATTTTATCGGTGACAATGATGCAAGTAGATTTACAACCAGGCACCACATACAATTTACTAATAACTCAAATACATATAGCTGCAAAGACTGAAATAATCCCATGTTATCACAGAACAAAGACACATCAGAGAAGTAGAAGGGTAACAGTTTTTACATATTTTTACTTCATCTATGTAAATATTTAAAAATCTTTAAAAATCCAATGAAAACTTTGAAAACTATGTTTGGACTACAGCAAAGCACAGAAGTTCAAACAGTCTGTAAAGGACAAAGTAGCATAAGCAGCAGGAGGTTTATGGCATGTTTCAACGTTCACACTTGAAAATTAAGATTTTTTTTTTTTTTTTTTCAAACCACAAGTTTACCGTCACTTCAAAATGACCTTTTCCCTCAACTGTTCTTAAACCTACCAGGCAAAAGCGTTTACGGGACATCTAGGCTTACAAATAAACCAAACCTTTCAGCTTTAATTCTCATTAAAAATATCTACTGTAAATTATTCTCTTTCTTTCTGAAAAAAAGGATACATTTTACCATAACATAAAATGTACTGTACAGGGATCCAGCACGTCATCCTAGGAAATAATGAAGAAAATTCCCACCAAAAACTTTGCTGACAACTCTGATTTCTTAAAAGCACACTGTTCTGCTGACAGGTATTTCATAGACTGCTGGTGAGATCTCTACGTCTATTAAATGAGAACTGTACAACTGTGTGGGAATTTCAAGCTCTGGAAGTATTTTCTTCCGTCATCCTAGACATCTGAACTTTACAAAGATTTCCGATTCATAGGCAACTCATACAAAGTCCACTGAGATTTCAAACTAATTTAAAAATTTTTACTTCATAGCATCTTTTAAAAAAAGCATCTAACTTATCAGGTACAGTTGTGTTTGGTATAACTCATGGAAGACTTATAAACAAAACACAGTGAAATGTTTAGGGTTTTTTTGGACCCATCTCTCTAAATATTTACTAGACCCTTTAGAGTGTAACTTTGTTCTAATGTCTCTCAGAAGTACATTCTCTTGACTCCCTTTACCATTTCCTGCCAAAAGGCAACAAAAAAAGTCCCAAACCAACAAGAATCTCTGGCTATGATCCACGTGTGTAAAATTCCAACCGAACAATTCTTCTGGGGTTTTTTTAAGAGTTTGGGGTTTCAGGTATCAAAATTAGTCGACTGACACTGAAAATCCTAACACCATCCTCATCGCTGCAGCTCCCAGTCAGTTCCTGTACAACAGGTGCCCTCCTTTACACCCTGCCTTTACTGGTCCCTCCCTGTTGGCAAAGCATCCTCACCTCATGAATCATTATCATCACAGTCACTTAAGTCGGATTCAGGTCCCTAAAATAGATGTAAATACAGTCAGTTCACTATTATCCTTGGGCATTTTATCAAAGTTGTGGATTAACCAGGATACTGAACTAGCTTTAGGAAGAGTGACCTTGAGTTCAGTGGCTGAAGTACAGCACTCCTTGGCCATACCAAGTCCAGGCCAGCTCTGACTTTAAATTCCAAAGTGCACAGGAAAACACTACCAACACTCTCCATGGATCCAGCTCTAACTCAGCCGGATGTATTAGCTTGGGCTCAGGCAGATCTATATGACTGCTGAGGAACGACGCGGGAGATCACGCACGTTGGTGCCCACTACTCCAGGACTACTAACACAGGCACAGTGCCACCTGGACTGCAATAGCCAGCAACTAAAGAAAAATCGAGTTCCACCTACTAGGCATTACCTTTGCACATAATGGATACCAGTCCCTGCTCCATCACAAATCTAAATAAACTGTGCAAGTCTTAAGCTAAGCACACAGACACACGAAGGAAAGTGAAGATTAAAGAGGAGATGGAAAGAGCAAAAAGAAAATGAAAGCCAGAGGAACAGGTGTGGAACGAACGTTAGATGAAGCTTTTCTTTACTTTTAAGGATTATAGAAGGCTTTTCTCTTTTGAAAAGATGAGCAATATTGCAGAGTATTCATGGGATCAAGTACTATATCCATGGCAGATTCATTTTCACTCCATACATTATGCTATTTGAGTAGTAAAGCAGATGACTGAGCTCCTGATACTTGAATAAATTTTGACTGCATAACATATATATATATAAATAATATATTAACAGAGAGTCAGGATGTTCTCTATAATAAGCGCACAGAAAGTGCCTTGCTGGATGACCAGGGTCTCAATGTCCAACCACTGGAGAAAATTCCTACACAGAAAATGCAGCAACTGTGCTTTCTGTCTAGCTCTTGGAGAAGAGGTAACCACAGCACTCGCACCACAAGCTCTGCAGCCAGCACTACCTTATATCCCTCACTGAAAGTCTCAGCTGAGTGTTTAAAGACTCACCGGAATACAAAAAAAGTGAATGACACGGCTGCAAAGCAGTGAATGGTACAGTGATAAACAATCCTTCCAATTTAAGTTTAAGAGGACCGCACTCCAGGTGTCTGTGCAGCATTTGTGTGAGAAACTGGTTGTAGCAGTTGCATGCACTAGTGAATCTTCTTTTTTTTTAAGCTTTTGCCTTGATATAGTTGAAAATAAACAGTGCAACACTGCCCAAGAGATAAAAGGTAAGTGCAGACTTCCTTACCATTCCCTAAAGAACTTGAGGGGAGTAGAGTAAGTACACTGATAAGCAGAAGTATAAAGGCCAAAGACAGACAAGATATGGGACATGAGCTGATATTCATGCTAAGTAATTGACAATTCATGAAGTACATTACTGAATAACTGAGGTTCATTCCTGAGAGAAAATTCCAGCTCCCTCCATGTCTAAGTAGACCTTAGCCTACTCTTCCTTCTCTGCAGGTAAACCATGTTCTACTGCATCTTCATGACTATGGACTAAAGGCTCAAATTCATGTTGCCACCTTGAAAGCTGCAATCCTGGTATTAACAAAAAAACCCAAACCAACCAAGCAAAAACCCCACAGGCTTCTAGGAAGCTCTATCCCTTGGATGTAACAGTGGATCCAGGTTCCTTCTGCTTGCTGGCTGGTCAAATGCTGGTCAGCGCTTAACACACTTGGTGAAAAGAACAGCAGATGACCCATACCTGGACATGGATTATATGAAAATAGGTTCTGAAGCCAGTGGGTGTATACAGTGAATTTCTATTTTTTGTCACTACCTATACCAAATTCTGAAAGAAGTTGGCAGGATTCCCTTCACATTTATTATGTTTTTTTTTCTCCCTCCATTGCAAATGAAATTAAAAAGCAGTAATTTCAGAACTTCTATCCCATGGTAACAACAACAAAAAAAATCTGCTGTTGTTACTAGCTGCAGTACTGGAAAATGGGAAAGCTCAGAGCATAGAATTTACTTACAAGGAACAGAACCCTGCAAATCAGTGGTCTATCAGTGGTCTATCAAGTACCTATCTTACTTGCAGAATTAACATTCAATCCAAATCACCACACTGTGTTCTGCTGCCAAAGGCATCTTCACAGCTGGCATGCAGAAATGTCCTTCAAAGAGCCTAGTACAAATTTACTATGACAACCTCTTACTCATCACCAAGGCCACGATCAGAATTAGACCACGGGGATTTTAATTAATACTAGCACAGGGATTAATAGTTACATTTATTTCCAAGTCTGTGGAGCTAGATTAACATAAGCACACATATAAATATCAGTCACACAGGTTTAGTCTTCCCCAGCTGAAAAAATGAGGTTGAAGAAAGACGGAATTTGTTAAATCTAAAAGACCTAGACAGAAGGAGGCAGATACAGGGAGTGAACAGGAAAACTTCTAAATAGTCTCTCGGACACGTTGGGATCTGTAACAGACTTGCACAGTCCATATAATCTTTTCCCACCAGTACCAGAAAAAGAAGATTCCCACTACAGCTAGAGTTTTCTGATATTGACCAGGCTGACTTTCACCTGAAAAAAAAAAAAATCACTGTTCAAACATGACGGAAGGAATATTCCCCAATCCGCAGACACAACAGGGTTTTCTCCTGCTCTGGCTAGACTCTCCAGACCTACTGGGATGCACCACGTTGTGATGGGTCTACTTACACGCCTCCTTGCTCGTGGCGCTGGCTCGGGTGTGTTAGGAGAAGTGGATTCGTTTGGTGTTTCTGAGGTTGAGCTAAGAGATGAGTTACTGCTTGAAAGTTCTTTGTTCTGCCTTTTAGTTCCAAATGGCAAGAGAAAGGCCACAAAATCTGAAACATCCTTCTGCTCTTCTCTCTGAGAGTCTTGCTTGAGCTTGTAGGCCCGATCATTAGCAATCACTTGGGACAATGGCATTCCAAAAGCCTGGGGAACAAATTCTGCAACAACAAAAAAATTGTATTTGCTGAACATCTGATATTTATTATGTACAAAAAGAATTAAGTATTAATTGCTGTTAGAAAGAAAAACAATCTGAAGTCTCCTCAAATATATAATAATTCCATTGAGGTACTGGACTGTATAATAATAATAATAACAACACTCAAACAATAAAATAATAATGGAGATGTGCCAGGTAATTGCAGCCCATGGTATCTGAACTGTGTTTCCAGTTGCAAGATATACCACACAGAATCTTGGAAATTCAACTGAGAGCAGATCTAATTAAAATCTTAACTTCCACTGAAAGCAGCTAGAAGTCAGGCACCTCTGGCTCCATCTAGATGGTGCAGAGGGCCATCAGAGGCTCCAATAACCTAATCCTGAGACTGGGGAGCCTGGCTGGACTGTGCCACAGCTCTCACGTTTCAGACCCCTTCACCAGGCTTCTTTCTCACAGATGCTGCAGGGCACCAGAGGCAAGGGGTACAGACACGTGTATGGGTCTCATTACAGGTCAGGAGGGTATGCACCTACCTGTACAGGGAGTTTGTCAGTGCATCCACTATTCAGACTAAGCCTTCAAGGATACGGTTTTAATTCTATACAAAAACTACGTTACTTAAACATACTGGTAAGATTAAACCAGTTTAATAGTAGTATATCAGTATAAAGATGCTTTGTAACAGTACCACAATAGGTATGGACATATAGCAATGCAGGAGAATACAGGTTTCTCTCAGTTAACAAAAAGAGCATAATTCCATCCAATAGCAATATAACTGTAGAGTATGCACATGAATGTGACTGTAATGTAAAAAACCAGCATCTAGTTGAGGTCTCCAACTAAAATGCTCAAATGTTTCACAAAACAGAAAAACTCTCCACAGCGAAACAGCTAACAATTACTAACATCAAAATTCTCCTCATTAAGTTTCAAATCTAGATGTATCTGAGATTAGTAGAATAATTTGGTCAGACTGCAAACCAGAACTCTTTGGGCTCAAATGGAATGAAAAAATAGCTACAGACTCTATTCATCCTGGTGAAAATGGGTGCAACTAGGTTCCCACTTCAGACCTGCCTGTATTAGGAATAAAAGCACTAGGGATTAAAAGCAATTTCTTTTTAAAGTATGAAAACAAGAAAAAAAAAAAAAAAGGTAAACAAAAAATTCTTATATATTCACCCACTCTTTTGCCACAATCATCTAAATGATTAAAGGCCAATGTTCCTCCTGGGACTTAAAGTCTGACTGTATCTTTGATGACACTTTCAGATTTTATCTAGGCTTGCATTATCATTAAGATTAAAGTAAGGCACTGAAAAGCAGAGTACATTTTGTGGATCTTGAATGAGGACACTACTAGCCTATCACACTAAAGAGACAAGGGCCCATTGTTCTGATACGGTTACTGCTCTTCAGAAGTATGAAATGTTAAGAAATGAACTAACTTTGGTGGCCAGACAAAACTAAATCAGGAAGCAGAGCCTCAATATCAAGCAAGCCTGGAGGTGACCTGTGAGTAGAATGACATCTAAAACTATCTGCATTTAATTTAGGACAAGAAAGAACATCATCACATGGGTAGCAAGCAATGTGGGTATTGCCAGTTCCAGGAGTCCAGGGTTAGACCTGTCCCTCCTGTACCCAGCAGAGTGGGCCTATAAAATGATAAGAGTATTAGCATTACTTTAGTACTACTTTTTACTGTTCTGAATTATCTTTCCAAGGAACATGTAAGTCCACAAACATGAAGCACACAAATGCAACATGTCTCCCCTTCTGCCTGTCGAATCAGGTACTTCGTTATATCTCTAGCATCCCTATTTATCCGTCCTTCCACGACATGTCCTGAGAAAAGCCTCTGAGCCAAATGAAATCCCGAACACAAAATATTTCTTCGGTTTTCTCGTGCTTCAAATTGGGATGGGACAGCAGTATGTAGCCCAGTGATGCCCATTGGTCCTACAGCACTGGGATCAACTGGGACAAGATCAGCAGGACATGGGGTCTCAGTACTGCTTCACTATAGGAACATCATTAAAATAAGCCTCTCCCTGACTTCATTACGTAAAGTCTGGTATTTTGAGGTAGGTGTTGCTCCTCCTTGAAAACTCTCAGGTGTGGGACACCAGGTTTTTTAATTGCTGTTGCTCAACACGCCTGTGGAGCAGTGAAAGGACGGTGAGCCTCTGCTCTAGGCTGCTTTGCTGTAGGCCTCCTTCTCAGAGGACATGAACCACTTCCCTGATTTCTCAATGCCTGGCAGAGATGGGGAACTGGATGGAAATCAGCTGGCAGATTTTCAGACTAAATACGGATTGAAGTGATGCTGGCTGGCAGTGGTAATTACGTTAAAGAACTGGCAAAACTTGTCACTTTTTGCCTGTTTGTTGAAATGAAGAGAACTGGTTGCACCCTCCACAGATTGGCTACAGTCTCCAGTTGGCACCAAAACCAGTGCATGTGTGAGCGCGCGTGCTGTCAGGGGTGCTGGTGGTGAGCATGTTTTGCCCACCACTCTTCAGAAGTATTCAATCCCAACAATTTCCTTGTTGGACAGGTAACGTCCTGTCCCTTAGAGTGAATGCTAGCCCTTTTGACATTTCAGATTCATTAAATAAAAGAAGAGTTGTAGTCATGCAAAGTATTTAGCAGCCCACTGATGGGGGAGAAAGGGCTGAGATGTAAGACGTGTAGGTTTGAGGCTCTGGTTTTGCAATCAAAGTACAAGTACCAACCACCTATTTACTGCTGTAGGCTGGGGGTGCCCACTGCTGGAGATACTTCATTTGTATGAAGAAACGCTCCTTCGAGCAGGGGTTCAAACCTTGTTCTGTTGTGTATGTACTGAGTCAGTGCCAAAGCTACCAAGTTAGTTACTGTCTGTAAAACCAACAAAAAATTTGGTCGCTTATTCAATCACCAGAGTGAGCAGATTAAAAAGAAATTTTGCAGAAAGCACCATGTTAAAATGTGAAACAACCTGGCAGACTCGGCAATCAGTGTGGAAACACGGACTCATATCCTTAGCCCGAACAGCAGCACATGAGGACTGGACTTGACCCATTCTGGTTTTCAGTGTTTACTGGCAGAGGAGACAATTTGCTATTTTGGAGAAGTGCACGGTTTCTTTTACCAGGAAGTCCATCCTGCAGCTGAGGAAAGTTTCTTAAAACACTTTTGATCGAAACTGGTATGTTCCTAAGAAATCTTTCTGTGATGGCAAATCAGCATTTTCCTAATAAATGGTAGCATGTCACAGAAAAACTCCCAGCCAGCTCAAACAAGAGTTTCAGTGACCAGAAATCCTTTACTTTGCTAATCGAATGATGATATCCAGGATGTTGACCCACATGGTTAGCTTACTTGGCCTCACACCACCATGTCCAAGTATAGTTTCAAAGACTTCTCTGAAGTTTCTGCTAGTGAAAATTGCGGTTTCCATCCCACAAACCATAGCAGTCTATTAAGAACCAGTGAGGTCTGTACTCTAGACCGTAACGAGGCCTTCAGTGCTAAGTGAACAGCATACAATACAGCAACTTTGGACACTCTCCTTAGTACTTTGGGGTTTTTTCTTAAGTGCTGGTGTTGAGCTGCTAAAACCTTATGATCAAGATCTACTATGGTGCTTGTACTACCTCGATTTTAATGATAGGAACAGAGTGGGAGACGGCTCAGAGAAGAATACACTTTAAAAAGGAATACTGAAATGGAGAGTGGTCTTCAAGTCAACCTCCCCAGCCAGCCAGACTCGGTAACTCTGTTTTGCTAACAAATTAATTACTTTATTAATTACTTAGTTAATTACATAACAGGAACGGCAAAACTGCTTCCATCTGAAGGTTTGTCAAAACCCCGCACTGACTCCAGAAGACTTGCGATAAAACAATGTTCTCACAGCATCAGCTCCCTGGCTGAAACTGCCTTTTCCAGCTCTTTGGAGCTCACTGACCTTCAAGGAGTGATATAAGGCCTTCACAATTACTCAGGCTTTTTCTTTTGGTAGGTCTTTCTTTTATTTTTTAAATTAAGAGGTTCTTCCATCCTTTAATTGACTTTAGTGCAAAACATGACACAGTGTTGCATAAAAAAAACCTTTTTGTATGCCTAGAGAGCATGAGAAATATTTTTAACGTTTTTTAAAAAGCACAGTGGGACACTTGAAAGGCTGGAAAAAAAGCATGTTTCTGATAAACTGTAATAAAAAAAAGAAACTTCCTCTTTTGAGCTCTTTCCTGTGGCTGTGCCAAGGCATACTGACATCATGATAGGTTGAATTACTGAAGAACAAACGCAAACGTGAAGAAATACCTCTAAATTTACTAAGCATGGCTGGGAAGTAAACACGGAAGACATGTTCAAGAGCTTTGAACCAAAGAAAAATCAAACACCTACTGCTGGTGTAGTTACCAGAGTTACCAGCAAGGCCTTTTCTTGGAAGCTCCGGCATACAGAGCAGCTCTGCTAAGGCCCCACAAATGAACCTGTCAAGTATTCACATTCCACACAGAAACACCAGCAAAAGGATGATCCTCAGTTGCTCAACAAATCACATAACAAGGGATTGTTATTTCTGAGTAGGTCTCTCGGTTCACCTGTAGGGTTTACTGGAACCAAGGCAAAACGGAGGTGGTTTACTGATAAAATCTTCTAGAAGAAATCCTTTCCGGGAGGCGTCTCTCCCAGGAATGCACGGACGAACGGCTTCGCTTCTGCCGCTGTCAAAATTAGCAGTGGATTTGTAAGGGAACAGTACCCAGCCGCCAGCATGCAGAGCATCCTGAGAATTTCTTATTCCAAGCAGCACTGACATTTTACTGCTCCTCCAGCCTGAGCACTGTTTGTCAGCAGCTATAGCAAATGTTTGGAGACATCTGTAGACAGCACGACTGAGAGTCACGATGGCCATTAATAACAAGGAGGCAGGGTAGAGAAAAGCAAAGACACTGAATGATGGAAGGTGAAAATACTGCTTAAATATCCGGGTGGAGCGCTGCTCTCCTGTTTCGTCTGTTTACGTCCATCAAGTTTCGCTATATCCTGCCTTGGTGAGTCACACTGAGACGTAAAAGCAATTGAAAAAACACTTGTTTTAGAATTTTTTCCCTTTTAATGAGATGACAACAGATGTACCTGTCAAGGAGGACAAAATAAAGATACGAGTCTCATTTGAAGTGCATTCAGTTCTACTTCAGTGTCTTTTTTGGCCTTCAGAAGCATAACAGTTCGCTGAAACTCTCACAGAACAGGCAAGTTGATCGACTGATGCACCTAAATAAAATGTGATGTTAGGAGAGTGAAAACTTACAGATTGGACCGACTCCTAAAATACACGGGATTATTAGATCTCCAAACAGCCCCAGAAGAAATGAGTACCACATCCTTTTGGTTATGCTTTTAAGGAAGAACCATTTGCTGGGGTGGGGTGGGCGAGAACAGTGTTGGGCACAACGGGAGGAAGGCTGTCCCTCCCCAGCGAGAGCACCACCAGAACCTACACCCTAGGGCAGCTCAGGATGGTCAGTGCTAGAGCAGAGGGACTGCCAGGCAAGGCTACGGATGCCAGTCCTCCCTGCTCTTCCACAGGAGCTGCCCGCACCCACAGGCACGATGCTGACCACGCACGCTACAAGCTGCAGGCCAGGCCAGGCCCTGCAGCGAGGTCTCCATCGTGCGACCACAGCGATCGCCATGGCGGCCTTTCTTCCCACCTCGGAGGCTTCCTACGCCAGGGACATCTCGGTGATCTTTGGCTGCAACCCATACACAGGATCACACAGTGCTGCGTGATGGTCAGGATTAATCTTCAGGAGCCTATCTATCTGAAAACAGACTTTTCAGGTGGCACGTACTCCAGGGGAGACCTAACAAGATGGCCCCCTCAGTTGTTACTTATCCTGGGTTATGTGGGGTCTCCTAGTCTAGGGTATGGGAAACCCAAAATGTTTGGAATTAACTATATACTCTTCAAACTGCAACTGTGCTTACAAAAGTGATACTGCAGGGATGGAAAAGCTGTTTGCATTCAGGCAGCTGCAACCCATCCATATAAAGTGGTCTGGAGATCAGCTTCCCTGCTTCCCCTCCAATGTGCAGCCTCCCGGTCTCGCCATTTCCTTCTCACCACGATGCAGTTAGACTAGTTACCAAAAAAAACCCCCACAAAACAGCCCAAAAAGCAACAGAAGGCAGGCACTGCTTTCGGACTAGGGACCTGCCCCAGTGGGTACGTAAGTGCTCCCGGCCGTTTGTGCGAGCACACCCACATCCACAGCGCGGAGTGTTTGTTTTGGACTGGTTGCCCAGTAATGGAAGATACTCTCTTTATAAATTAAATGCTAGAAATGCTTGTTAAAAAACCACCACGGAACGGTCCGGGAAAATACTTCCATCTCACTGTGACCCACGTGCCAAGGGAGTTTAACTCTGACTTCGGGTGGCAGAGAGAGACCACTGTTCAAGGAAGATTGTGGGGCTCGGCTGCCATGTGAGCACGGCAGGCTCATCCTCATTGAGACCAGCAGCACGAGGCCTTACATTTTTCTTCCCAGATCCAGCTTGCCACCTGAAAGCTGGGCGACGCCATCTCTCTCAACTCCCGAGGCTGTGGGAGATGCCGGTGCTGCTGCTTGCGACAGGAAAGCAGTTGCCTTTCACCAACCATGCCAGGCTGATAGCCCTCATGGCTCAATCCAACACCTTCCTGGTTGCTCATCCCCTCTGCTGTCACAGGTTAAGAGTCTGCTCAGCAAATATCTGCGGGGCAGATAGTCTTTAGTAACTCCGTAAGGCAGAGAAGAGTACACCAGAAACAACCACGGTCGAAACCCCTGAGAAGCAGGGCGCCCTATGCTGCTATCTCAGCTACTTTGCCTAACATTTGCTGTTGGCAACAAAGGCGAGTCAATATGGCTTTCTTTTCCCTCTGCTGACGCACCCTGGTCAGAAACCAATGTCCTGGCCCAGTGCACCCTTACTGACCAACCTGACGCCCATGTCAATACAGATGTCCTGAAGGAAGGAGAGAAATATAGATTCTGCTGTTTGAGTAGTGCTGGCGTATTTTCCCCTCAGAGAGTGCTCCTATAATATTTTATAAATGGAGGGAGCATGTAAGACATCTCTATAAATAAGAATAAGGCAGTGGAAGATGGGAGGAAGAGGACAAAAGCAGAGGGGTACATGTTTGAAATGCCTGAAGTGAAAATAAGGAAAAAAAAAAAAGGAATTAAAATTATGCACATCAGCATAGTGATTTTTAAAAATGCTTGTGTGTAGTTAACCAGACAATATGAGCAATGGTGGAAAAATGGGAAGTAGATAAATATCTACAAGGACGAATACATACAAAGTGCTAACCTTTGCTGCGGGCAACTACTGAGCCCTAAATGGCAAAGCGCACTCAGAAAATCCATCTGAATGAAAACAGAAAGTATATCCCAAAAGTTACTAACAGATACTATCACGCAAGGTAAACACACAAATAAAATCCCTGAACAGAAATGTAACAGCAGAAAATAATATTATTGGTAAGTGCTCAACCAGCACAGTTGTGTAATTATCAGAAACAGACATCAGCTGAAATAAAACGAGGCTATAAGGAAATTACAAGAGCACAAGGCAATGCAAAAAAAATTATTGTTTGAAAGATCATTGGCAGCAGAGAATTTAGAGGAATAAAGGGCAACTCCGGGTTAAACATCTGAATGCATCACCAAAGGAAGCTATCCGTTCTCAAGGCACTGCACCACAGAGGCACTGGAGGAGTTCTGGAAGTGCAACTGCAAAGGTCACCAGGTTCAGGTGACACAACAAAACTTGGTCTTTGGTGAATTATCCAATCAATTTTATTATTGCTAAAATCTGCTACTGCAATGAAAAATGTGAGAATGAAAAGATAAAATGTACTTAAACTCTCGAAAGAGCTTCTAAATAGAAACTTTCACAGGAAACTACCAAAGTCGTGCTACCCATATGGGGGGAAAGATAAAAGCTCTCAGTGCATCAAAAATTTGAGAGAGAACTAAAAAAAGAAAAAAAAGGCAGTAAGTGGTTAGCCATTTCCGATGCAGAAAAGCACCCCACGGACCGCTATCAAGACCATTATCTGGCAAACACACTGAAAAGCAGAGAAACTTCTGCACTGAACTACGCTGCTTTGCACTTTTAACTGCATGGAGAGCTATGGGGAAAAAAAACCAAGGAAACTAGGCAACATAATGACTGATCAATTACATTGCAGCCAAACGTAATCCATTGACAGGAGCAGTACAAGACAGATTTTCCTGCAAAGGTGGCTATAAAAATCATTAAACTTCTTCCTTAAAGACTACTTCTGCATGTGGACTCAGTCCTACATCAAGTAATTCTCTTAACAAATGAAAGATTTGGTAGTCACAACCCAACATGGGAGACCACTGGATTTATCCAAGCAAATTTGTCAGGGGACTTTCAGTTTTAGAAAGATTAATGCAAATTAATTTCCCTGGCCATTTTTTAAACCAAGAAAATAATAATCCCATATATGAAGTCATCAAACAAACAAGAAATAAAAGAAAAACATTTTCTTCCTGACAAATATCTAAAGTAACTTTGAAATGTGGATGACAATTTTTTAATGGAATTTCAAAGTTCCATCCTTCTGCCAAAGTAGATGACAAGCAATAACATCAAAGTAACCAGGTCACTTCTCGTTACAAATTTGTGTGTTTGTGCACGTGCTTGTGAATCAGGGATGTTAATACTGACTTTTACTACCACTTTTCCAGAACTTCTTTCCCAGAAGGGAACACAACATTAGATGCACAATTACCTACATTCAGAATACTGCAATTTCAGAGACACCTTTCAGGTCTCAACGTCCTGGCTGCACATTACAGGTCAAGTCCAGCGGATTAGGACCCAGCCCACAAAGCTGATTAGTGTCCAAATGAAAGAGTCCAACCATATCTGTAAATCTATGTCACACGGAGTCTGTTAAAACCTAACTGATCAGTAGCACCGAAGCATTTATGTATTTTAAACAACAGCTATTTTTCTAAGGCTCAAAAAAAGAAAAGCAAACCAACTGACTCGCTTGGGCAGGGCTGGGTTCATGTGCTTTGCAAACGGCAAGAGGAGAGGGAAAATGCAGGTAAACAATTGGATCATGTTATCCAGATCACACTCTGCACTGGATGGTGAACGTGGGAATAAAGAACAATGAAGAAAAGATGCAGTCCTTTAACTGTTTTCTCCCAGAAACAAGCTTTCAGTTGAACAGATCTAAGTTATATCAACGACAAATAGAAAAAATATGGGGTATTTTTCAACTTGGAAATAAATATCTAGGTGGTACACTAGCTCAGTAATGCTCTCCTACTCCAGACAGAATACATTTAAGACTAAAGAAATCTCATATGCAAAACTAAGACCCGGTCAGTAAATACGTACTCATTTTATTTTACCTTTGTCTCTGTTCTTCTCCTTTCCTAAAGAGTCCAGTTTCTTTCTTAATGATTTCTTCCTCTTTTGTCCATCTGTAAAAGGAAAAAAGAAGGAAAAAAAAAAAAAAAGAAGAAGTGAAATGAAAGAATGCTGAACAAACTGCTGCACAAGCTGTAGGAACATGGAGCGAGATGTCCACCACACTTGGACTCAGGAAGGGCGGGGGGTACATTTCACAACAGCTAGGGACTGTCACAGTCCTTCAGACCCAACAAGTGCTGCTTCGTTCACCCAAACACCAAGGTTGTACTGGGGAACCAACATGTATCCTGCCACATGCTGCTGGGCACATCTGCACGTGTGTAGTCACACAGCCTATGTGGCAGAATGGAAAGCTAATTTTGAAGACTTAACAACGGAGATTTGTTGCTGGATGCTCTTGATATCAAGGTACCATAAACCTAAGAGGTACTGGTTAGCTCTCATCCACAGTCACAAGACTGTGAGTCAGGTGTGGAGCTCAAGGTAGTATTTGGAGAGGATTACTAACCTGCAGGATAAATTCTCCATACCAGTCATGCCAGTCAGGTGACAGCTGACCACCTTCACATGATCCATCTGATCTGAATTCACACTGGGAGCTTGCAGTTTGGTACAGCATGTTCAGATTGGTTCAGGTGGATTAGAATCTCAGAGAAATTGTTGTTCTGACACCCTATATATCATCCAAGTTTTCACTAAGGTATTAAGGACCAAAGCTTTTAAGCAATAGCGTAGGCAGGTTCATTCTTGAAACATTCATATTAAAAGACTATCATTATTTCCTTCAGCAGCATCTTTTATAACATTAAAGTCAACAAAAATGCATTTTCTTTATTAGGTCTCAACAAATACCAGAGATTATGACATGGGCCTGCTTTAACTTGTACCTTTTGAATTTTTTAAGTTCCAAAGCAATATAAAGGGTCTAACATAGGGACTAATAACTAGTGCTAACACAGGCACCACTCCAGCTAAAGAACAGCCACCTTTGCCTTACTGGTTTTGTAACACAACTCAAAAACGAACACGTCGTATCTCTGCTTCACTTTTATGGTGAGAAGGTCACCAAATAATCTGCCTCAACACATTTTTCTAGTTATGTAAGCCAGAATCTTAAGCGGTCTTTTACAGGAGGGAACATACCACAGAAGACTGAAGTGGATCTTTGTCAATTAACTCTCAGCTTTGCAACTAGGGGAAACACAAGAATACAAGCCATTTCCCCTTAGTTTTCCCTCAACTCCCATTGAAAGCCATGCTCAGAACATTACTCAACAGACAGCAGGACCAACTCTGACTTTTCCATAGCCATCTAATAACCTTCTACTTTAACACTGCTTTTTACCTTATGTAACTGTGGTTTGACCAAGCCCACTTGCACACTCGTGCTCTGCATTTCTTTAGAGCGTACTTGCTCCCAGCACTCACTTAACTATGATACTCTGTTCCTGTCTCTGGAGGCAGATGGTCATTTGCTGTTTACATTTATTCCCCTTTTTCCACACCTGTTCTGGTGAGAATTCATCTCTCTGAAATAAGACTGACCAGAACAGATAAGGTATTCCAGCTGAGAGTTCAGTAATATAATGGTGGTAATGCATTGCCTGATACGGACTATAATTACATTTTCCTTCTTCATAGCCACATGACAAGTTCATAACTCAAAGTCAGACTTTGATTGATTAATATGGCCAGTCTTTTCACACCTTCTGACATTTCCAGTTGATAAGACTGAGTTTACTGCAGTTTATTCTTCATTCACTTCTTAGCAATATAAATAGTCAGTAGCCTGCTTACATACACTTGACAGTACTGCTTGTTTTTACAGGGTTCCCTACTGCCATTGTGTTCCAGCTTCACATCTATAAAACTATTTTCAAATTATTTTTCATGTTATAAATTCAAACTACTGCTTCACAGTAGCCTTCTGATAAATGACTTGCATTTCTCTGGAGTCTTCTATTCTCCAAAGACCCGTTTACTGATATTCTGACATTCCACTAAAGTCTACTGAGATGTACAAATGAGAACAAAAGTTGAAATTGGATATAAAATATAGTATTTTGCTGTGATAATTATACAACTGCAACTTCTGGAATGTTTTAGTGCTGCATAGTCAAATACAACAGAAATACAGGAAAAATTAATATTATTCAATACTGAACACAGGAATAAATGGCACTCACGTCCACATGGAAAACAGATTAACAACTTCTAAGGCCAAACTATCAAGGCTTTCTCATTTCTTAATGTGTGATTCTTTCAGCTCCAACAATGAAGTAATTCCTCAGCAAATGACAGACTGAGACAACACTTATTCATCTGTCTCTGCAAACCTTGGATTTTGGATACAAGTGATGCTCAGGCCCAGAGGAATGTGAGAAGTAGGAAGCAGTTATAGAGATGGACGAACCACAAAATACAGACAAGTCCACTCTGTGCACTCCTGAGCAAACAAAGAGATCGCAGAGCAATAGAGGAGAGACACTTACCTTGGGCAAATGCGTGCAGTTCCACTGAAGGCAGTGGGGCTACAAAACATTTACATTTACCGTTTATCCCACAGCAGGAGAGAGTTGCATATGAAAATAATAGGAATGTCAGTGAAAAGCTAAAGCTTAGGAGACCTGCCAAGAGGTCAGTTCAAGTTGTTCTCCTCCTTGACCAGCAAAAGACATGACTAATTACCATCTATATTCTGCAAAAAAAAGTATGCACTGAAATGATTATTGATTTAGGTTACACTAGGTATGAGCATTGCTAAAATATTCATAACATACTTAAGGACTTGGGCAACTCTAGCAGTTTTACATCTTAAATGAACCCAATTCATAATAATAATGCTTAATACTTATTATCTGCAGAGTGTTTTGAGAATATAATTAATTTCTGAACCATTCTTCAGAAACAGGCAAAGAGTTATTACCCACGCATACTACCTACTGCACATTTTAAAAATAATTAGCAAATATTTATGCCAAATAGTGTTATATCAGCTCAAAGTGCTATTAAATATGGCCTGCTATTCTCATTTGTGGTTTGGAAATGTTTAAACCACAAAGGGACAAATACTGTTGGGCTTTTATCCAGCCTTTTGTGTATATAATTGTCACTTAATGTCTTCTTTCTATAGACCAACAATGTAGGGCTCCTCCCACAGATTCCACTCAAGAATATTAGCAAGACAAGAGAAGCATTCAAAAGACAACAACTGTCAAAGTGAAGGAAGCAGCTTTTTTTTTTGCCTTGCTAACCCATTCAATTTTTTCTGAAGAACATCTGCCCAGGCAGCTGTCCAGATCAGTTGTATCAGAAATGAACTTGGGTTTGCTCCACACTTACTAATTTATATGTTTGCTGAATTTTTCACTGCAATGCATACATCATTCTCTGAGCATCTATATCTTAAGACTAGTGCAATGAATAGTTAAAAGACCAAGAGTCTAGAATCAAACTCCTGAGTGCATATTAAATTGCTACGTGACCTGTTTTTCCAAAGCAGCGAGCACTTCCAGGTTCAGTTAACGCCAAAAAGACTTTTCTATTTGAAAAATTAGGTCATGTTTTTAGGACTCTACCAGTGAACCACAGCCTACAGAACGCAAGAGTATTTGCACGGATACATTGACTGTGGAAAAGAACGGAGGAGTTTGACTTTTGAGATTATTATTTTTGAAAGTGGATGTTGTCTACCTAGACTTCAGCAAGGCTTTCGACACGGTTTCCCGTAATATCCTCCTAGGGAAGCTCAGGAAGTACGGTCTGGATGAGTGGTCAGTGAGGTGGATTGAGAACTGGCTGAATGGCAGAATTCAGAGGGCTGTCATCAGCAGCGCCGAGTCTAGTTGGAGGTCGGTAACTAGTGGTGTCCCACAGGGGTCAGTACTCAGCCCAGTCTTGTTCAACTTCTTCATCAACGACCTGGATGAAGAGTTAGAGTGTACCCTCAGCAAGGTTGCTGATGACACAAAACTGGGAGGAGTGGTAGATACACCAGAAGGCTGTGCTGCCATTCAGCGTGACCTGGACAGGCTGGAAAGCTGGGCAGAGAGGAACCTGATGAGGTTCAACAAGGGCAAGTGCAGGGTCCTGCATCTGGGGAAGAACAACCCCATGCACCAGTACAGGCTTGGGGTGGACCTGCTGGAGAGCAGCTCTGTGGAGAGGGAACTGGGTGTCCTGGTGGACGACAGGTTAACTGTGAGGCAGCAGTGTGCCCTGGCTGCAAAGAAGGCCAATGGGATCCTGGGGTGCATCAAGAAGAGTGTGGCCAGCAGGTCGAGGGAGGTTCTTCTTCACCTCTACACTGCCCTAGTGAGGCCCCATCTGGAGTACTG